CACGGAACTACCACCCCCCCACCCCTTTCCCATTATAGTCCATTTTAAGTAAAATGTAGGCCCTACGGGGGGGGACGCCTACTACTACTACTACTACTGCTGCTACTACTACTGCTACTATTCTACTACTACTACTACTACTACTACTTGTAGAACTAGATGGCCCTCCGAACCCAGGACTCCAGCGTGAACCAGACCTCAGGCTACATTGCTGTGAACCTGGTCACCAAGTACTTCTTCTGGCTGTTCGAGGCGAAGCAGACGCTCGTCTCCTTCATTCCGGGAGGCTTTTAGCAGCAGGAGCAGGAGGGGTTTGCATTGCGATTATATTGGGGTTGTATTGGGGTTATATTGGGGTTATATAGGGTACATAGGGGTTATATAGGGGTTATATTGGGGATATATGGGGTTCCAGGAGCCCTAGTAGTAGCCGTAGCGGCAACAGCGGAAGAGGAGGAGGAGGAGGAGCAGCAGCGGCGCTTTCAGCCACATCAACACGTCTGGAAAAGTTATAGCCCATTTTGCATTTGTTTTTGAGTCCTAAACCCTAAACTCTAATCCTTAAACTCTAAACCCGAAACCCTAAATAGTAGTCTCCATTTTCTTTTCCATTCTCCCCTATATAACCCCTGTATATCTCCCATATAAACCTATATAAGCCCTATAACCCCCAAATCCATTAGGACCTCTAAATTCCAGGAGCCTCCTTCCCAACATGGTCATGGCTAATGATTTGTTGATCAGAGAGCTTTAGGTTCAATGAAGAGGTTAAAGGTCCCAATAGGTTTAGGGTCTTCAGGAGTTTGGGGTTTAGGGGTTTATGGTTTAGTGCCTGGACCAAAGTCCTCGACCTTCTCGCAACCTTGAAACCTTAAGATGTGCATGGCCATAAATGCAGTTTCAGGTCTGCAGATCTGTATCAGGCCACTTGGGGCTCTGCTATCTCCACAACTTCAACCTTGGACTCCCCCCCACTGCTAGGACTGACTAGAATTATGTCATGCCATAATCCTAATACACTATATACCGCAGTCCTAACCAGCACCAAACCCTAAAGTGCAAGACCTGAACTTAAGTGGTCAAGTCTTTTCCGGTTCAAGTCTTCAAGTGTTTGGGGCTGATTGTCTAGCTTGCAGAGTGAGTGAAAGGTTAGAAGCGCCCAACATAATGCCACATGCTCCCACAACCCTGAAACCTTTTTCCCATCCCCGCAAACCACGCACCTGAAATGTTAATTATCCCGAGGGACCCTTCAACGGCACCGCTGGTGATGTGGCCACTGGGCAATTTCGACTTCTCGCATGAATTGAGTTGGGGTACAGGACCTGTGCCTTTGGGATGGCAGGTTTCAGGCCAGGAGGATAGTGACATGTCTACCAGAATTATTGGATCTTGCCAGGACGGTGGAGGAATCACAAAGACCATGCAGGATGACATCAGGGCTGAGAGACTTCGGAATCAGAAGGTTTCGAACCTCAAGTAATCTTTGGACCTTCTTCAGCGAACTTGTGAACAACCTGGTGGGCGCATACTAAACCCCACACTTTAAACCCAATCCTCCCATTAGCGGAATTCACATTAGGTAAACATAGGGGTGCCAGAAAGTAGGGCCAGTGCAAGCGCCCTCCAGACCCTAAACCTTAAACCCCAAACCCAAAAAACCTAAACCCTAAAACCCTCAACCCAAAACTCTCAAAAGTTAGAAGCCCGTAAACTCACAGCCCAAAACCCTAAACCCGTAAACCCCAAATCCCCAGACTCTAAATAGTAGTTTCCATTTTCTTTTCCATTAATTATACTATAGTAGTTTCCATTTTCTTTGCCATTATCCCTATATAACCCCAATATAACCCCTAAATAATATAGTAGTTTCCATTTTCTTTTCCATTATCCCTATATAACCCCAAAATAATCCAAATATAGCCCCATTATAGCCCTACCCTAAACCCTGAACCCTAAACCCTGAAGCCTAAACCCTAAAACCCTAAACCTTAAACGTGTAGCCGACATGTTTGTGAGGCTCTCAGGGGGCCCAGGCTGCTCCTCGCAGCTGGCACTGCGTCCCGGATTCCATCTTATCCAAACACCACCTTTTGAGGATTTAAAGTTTGAAATTTTGGGTTTAGGGTTTAGGGTTTAGGTTTAGGGTTTTTAGGGTTTCGGGTGTAGGGTCCCAGGGATTAGGGGTTTAGGGTTTAGGATTTAGGGGCCCCGTTATACTGTAGTTCTTAAGCCTTGGGGTAATATTGGGAGAATGTAGGGTAATATGGGGTTATATAGGGATATTGGAAAAGAAAATGGAAACTACTGTTTGGCAGCAGAGTTGAGGATGCCACGAGTCATCTTTAGTAGCGGAGCATAACATTGCAGACCCAAAGCAGGGATGATGGGAACCAAAGCGAGCAGGGTGGTGGTAGTGATGTACCTCTGGTTGGCAGGGGAGTACGGGAATGGAAAAGAAAGTGGAAACTATTGTATTGTGCATGGACTACTGCAAAGGATCGCTTCCTTCACTCTTTGCGAAAGCGACTTAAGGTGATGGTTGCGGCAATCAGCTAATATCTGAGAGTTTCTTACACATAATGTGATAGATAATGCGAGTGCTTCGTAATAGGCATACCTCCTGCAGGATGGTTTGCCCTCTGTTGATTGAACGTTCGACCTTGTGTTGAGTGAGCTGGAAGGAGCCTTAGAAGAGCGTTGCGGAGGGTGATGGGCAATTGTGTAGGACATCTAGCTTTCCTTATAAGCTACGAACCGAGGCTTCTGAAACCCTCACGCCCCTAACCCTGCCTTCCCCACACCCTATGCCTTGGCTCTAGAGCCCAGAACCCTAGTGCAAAGACATATGTCTTTGCTAGCAGCAACAACAACATGGGAATCCAAGCAGAAGTTAGAGATTTGCGTAACTAAACCCTATCTCAGATGAGGTGGTGTTAGGGTTTAGGGTTTGGGGCTTAGGATTCATGGTTAAGGGCGTAGATGAAGCCACCTGTTGAAACATCCGTGTAGACTCATCCTTGACCTATGCCTTTCTCAGAAGCCACCCCAAGCCCAACGCCCAGGACCTAAATTCTAAATGCTAGGCCCTGGACCTCCATCCTCGAACCTTGAGTCTATTCAGAGCCATGACCAAAAACCCAGGGAGCCCAATGCCCCTTATTCAAGGCCGCACGTAATCGTTTTGCAGACGCGGTGTCATTTATCATTTAGGGCATGTTCCTCAATCAAGGTCTTTGGGGCCTGCTGAGACCAGACCAAACCCCAAAAAAGAGCTGCGTCGGGGGAGCTGGGAGCATGTGGGAAGTTCTCCAAACTAGGGTTTAGGGTCCCTTCAACCTTAAACCTTAAACGCAAGAGATGTAGGCTATGCTACAAAGACCTGCGAGACAGGAGTAACATCTTTGAGATAGAGTTGGATTTCCGAAGGCTTTTACAGAAGGACCATGATCCAGGTTTGCAGAGAACGGCCCCTGCAAGGTGGCGAAGAGTGGTGCATCGGCAGCACATGTTTAAAAGAACTCATGCAGGAGCTTTGGAATCAACAGCAGCTACTGTTGGTAGGTTCCAGAAGTAGAGGAGCTTAATGTGGAACGCAAAGTACTAGCATCCTTGCTATAGGGACTCCACGAAATGGACCACCAATCTTCAGAGCCCCAGTTGTCCAAGCGATCATTCCACGTTTCGAGTTCGAGCTTTGCGGGCAAGGTGCTGCTTTCAGGGATTTAAGGTCCTCAAGGGTCCTGCAAACATTCCTATATGATAGTTAGTATTTTGACCAAAACAAAACGAACTCACCCCTGATGGTAGCTACTTTTGAGGGTTCAAGGTTCAGCTTCAGGGCGTGGATTCAGGCTTAGGACCTTGGCTGGGGTTTTGGATTTGGGGAGCTGTGAGACTGACTTCTGTGGATTTTGGAGGCTGGGATGCTGATCTGGAAAGCCCTATGCCTGCGCCCCTTCGTTAAAAACGATATCATTATCCGTGAAGGAAAGGGTTCCACATAAACTTGGAAAGTTGCATCGTGGACGTTTCTATCACGATTGTAAGGTTAGTAAGAGGGCCTCTCTTCTGTTTGATATTGGCATGCTTGGTGGAGACGGATACCGAGAGGTATGAGGGGGTTTCCAAGAATTAGGGGCCTTTTTTGGGGGGAGTCCTTACACTCAAGTGTACTATTGAGGTCTCTATGGGGACCACCTGTTTATGGAACCCCATGTCTGCATTCGTCTCCAAGAACAGCCCGTTTGGATTCCTGAATCACAGATGGGGACGTCGCAGACAAATGAGGCCTCTTTCTTTATATCTCCGACATAGAATCTTGAGTCGATCTCTTGGTGCAGGGTGCGGGTTTTCGTGCTGGCTTGGGATTTGATGGCCCTGTGTGAACCCATGTGGGAGCTGCTCAAGATTAGCCCTGAAGCTTCTGGCGAGGCACCCCCAGAATCCTGACACTGCACCCTAAGCCCTCAGGGTATAGTCCCCCTTTAAGTAGATAGAACATGGGGTATATGGGGATCTTATTCTAATATACCCAAAGCCATATTCTATCTACTTAAGGGGGACTATATGCCACTTTTGGCACTTAATCCCTCCACCCCGGTAGCCGCAACTTGATGAGCGGGAGTGAGGTCAGTCGACTTATCCAAACCCATCTTCATGGCACTACGCTGCCAATGTGGCTTGCACCGATAGTGATACTTACTGATGGTTACTAGGGAATAATGGAAAATTGGATGGAAGCTACTATAGTATTTTAGGGTATATATGGGGATGTTATACTTACTGGTGGTTAGTAGGGAATAAAGGACTATAGTCCCTATATGATGCCTACATAATATATTCCCTTAGTTCCGACTCATCCCCAGTCAGTAAGGATAGTGGCAGTATGAGTTTTAATTGCACGTTTACTAACGTGAGCATGTAGATTCAAAATATTAGTAACATGAACATTTGGATCAGCAAGAGTCTTTGCGCTAGTGGGGAACACGTGCAACGAACCGTAAGAAGAACAGGTAGCCGCGTCTCAGAGGAGGGTTTGAGCCCCTGATGAGCTCCTTCGGGGCGTGGAGTCTACTGGAGTAGGGGTTCGGTTGGTTTCACAGTAGATTCTGAGATTCCTCCAGCCGTCTTTCACTTAGAGTCGGAGATTGCCGATCTTTTGTTCATCACCTTGTTAGAACTGCAGCATTTGGAAAACACTCAGGACCTGAAGCTTTAAGGCCCATAGAATCTCACAGATCCCCTTTTATCTTGACGTTGGGATCTTTTATGCTTCCGATAGTCCACAAAGGCTTCAAATAGAGAATACACCTTAAATAATAGCAAGATTCCTCATATGAGTTAAGGTAGATTCCTTGACGAAAGAGTATCACAAACCCTATAGCAGGGTCTAGGGTTCAGGGTTGAGGGTTGGGCATTTTCAAAAGTTGCAGTCCCTAAACCCTAAACCCTAAACCCTTAAACCCTAAACCCTAAACCCTTAAACCCTAAACCCTAAACCCTTTACCGCCCGCCAAAGTGTTGGACTCCTTGTATAGGACCAAGGGACCTCTTTTTCTTGGAGACCACTCTATAAGCTACGTGTCCATTCCATCTTTCACGTTCTTTTCCGTGCGATTATCAAATTTTACACTATAGCTCTACGGTAGAGCCTCCACCCTTAACCCAAAACCCCAACACATAACATAATATAATAAAAATAAATAGTATGTATATATATATATAAGGCAAATGTACATGTATATCCCTAGAGATATCCAGGTAATGTGGGTCGACCAGCCTGCTGGCGTTGGCTTCTCCACGGGCATCGGCACTCACAACGAGCAGGCCGCACAACAACAGGGCTGAGACTCCGAGATGCACAGTTTATTTAGTTCAGAAGGGGCCTGGGGATGGGGCAGAAATTGTTGGGTAGATAGTGTAGATAGGCCTGCCAGTACAAGTTTTTGGTTAGGTACTGAGGCAGATTTTCGTTCAGTGAGTTTTCAGTCAGGGTTTGATCATTCAGAAGGGCAGATTTGCCAGTGCATAGCGATGCATGCGGAACCCGAGTTGGACCCTGCCGCGGCGGAACCCTCAGTGCACACTAAGAAAATAGGATGCAAGCCAAGACGGGGGGCCCTGGATCCTGGCAGTCCCTGTCTACTTCCGAGAGAGTCCCCTAGAGCCTTTGCATATCCATCATAGCATCCTACATGCTCCTCATGTGGGAGCTTAAAATGAGTCATACATCATTATGCCTAACGGAGAACCCTGTAGGCGCCTTACAATCACCCACTATCCCAATCGCGAAGGGGCCTTCCATCTTCTGAAGCTTACTGTATAATCCCACTAACCTGTAAGCCAGTTTGAATCCCTCAACCCAAATCTCCTTCCCAAAATCCCTGCACCCTAAACCCTGAGCCCTAATTTCCCGCCCCAAATCCCTAAACCCTAAACTGCAAACCTAGGCCTTAAACGTTATAACCCAAACCCCAAACCCTCAACTCAACAGGGAGTTGCGGACAACATGTACGTGCCTTTGGGCAGCGGTCAGATGCCTTGGGCGTTGGGTTGTCACCTTGGAGCGTATTATTCCTAGTACTATCATTATTATTATCATCATTATTCCTATTACTATTGGTATTGCTATTATGTTTATTACAACAATTACTACTATGATTATTACTATTACTATTACTATTACGATTACTATCACTATTATTATTACTATTATCATCATTAGTACTGTGACTGTTATTCTTATTGCTATTGGGATTCCGGTAGACCATTGAGACCCTGGGGCGTCCCCATTGAGGGCTCTTTTCATTTGAGAAGCTGTTGTATGAGTGACAACGAAACATGTGAAATCAGTGGGTTCTGTCAGACGGAGGTTAGCTTGGGCCCCCACCCAGTCGTAGTCGTATATAAGACTATATGAGGACCTTATTATGATTACCAGTATCCCTCGTGGTCACTGTGCGTGGGTGGGGGCCCAACCCAAGGCATAGGCTAGGGCAGTATTACCATGAGTATTTCTTGTTGGGCAGATTCGGATGCGTGTAAGACTTGTTTTCAAGTTTTGCTGACATTGGGAGTTTCGTTGACCTGCGGCGCTCTTGCTGGGCTCAGAGCCACCTTGCAGGGATTTAAGATTTGTGCATGCCTTTGCATCTATGAGAGATGAGTCATCAGGCTACTTCGGACGCAGTTGACAGAACCGTATGCTTGCTACATGTATTCCCAAAGGCCAACCTTGATGAGGGTTTTAAGTGACCTGACCAAACCCTACAGGATCCCTGTAACTTCAAATCTTACAACCTCTTCGCTAAGGTTTCTGCAGAAGTTCTTCCAGCAGTTCCCGCAGTACCAGAAGACGAACTTCTTCGTGTTTGGAGAGTCCTATGCAGGCCTGCGGGCAATCGTAGCGTTGTTTTTGCTGCGGTCTGACTGTGTCATTGTCCATGATTTTCGTTCGTACTATTAATATGGTTACTATGAGTATGGTGAGTTAAGAACCCTGGTGTCAGAGTATAAGGTTTGGGCCTGGGCCCTTGCATATTGGTCAACAGACGCCAACCTTGGCAGGCTAAGTTGGATACTTGGAGGGTCAGGGGAACTTAGTAAGTTGGTTAATAATCGGAATAGATAGGGTTACTAGATGGATTATAGGGGCTATTAACCTACTACTAAGTCTCCCTGACCCTCCAACTAGGGTTCTCAATACGAAACTGGTACCAGGAGCGAAAATCGGGGTAGCCGAGCCAAGACTGGATCTGCGAGGACATTACGTGCCCGCGATTTCCCACAGGATCTGGAGCGGCAACAAGGCTCCCGACTTCTTGATTGTTGTGGTATAGCACTTGATATCGCGACCCCGCAAAAAGGGATCCCTACTGTACTTCTTGGAAACTCCATTTGGCAATCAACAGTGTGTGTCTTAGGCAAGAACTGGAGTTGCCTCTCAACACAATGGGTTGTTTGGAATGAGGTGCCCCTGAAACAGCAACCCCATGATCAACACCCATCCAGAGATCAACAATTCTGAGAAGCCACCGCACTCCAATAATTATGATAACCACTTCCCAAGACGCATCCGAATGTCATCTTTCATATCTTCCTTGGACTTTGATTTTGAATCAAGACGAGATATTCTGTATAGGAATCTAAAGATGTTCGGAACATGTTTCATACGAGGGGGCAGTCAGATGTTCAATATACAGAAAGTGCGCACAAGAAATGAAGGCCAACGAGGGGCTGCACATTCCGCTGAAGGGCCTGGCAATCGGTGGAGTTCTCAGTCCGACAGGGTTTAGCGTGAAGGCCATGGAGTTTCAGGGAAGAGGGTGCGCGACTGCTGGGATCTAAGGTAGAGGGATCTGGCTTGCGGTTGAACGGTTGGGGTTAAGTCTGCCGACGCCTATAACCACTTCTGAGAAGGCTGCTGCTAGGTGATCTTCTCACACATGCATCCGGGGACACTAGCCTGGTAGGAGATCCGGAGTTGAGTTTACTCTTTACCCTAAACCGCAAAAACCTAAGTGACTTAGACCCTGGAACCCCACACCCTTAAACTGCTGAACTTCCCTAAACTCCTGAATGTTCCTATACCACTAAACCCCTAAACCCTGAACCCTACATCCCCTGAACCCCTAAATTCCTAAACCTCTAAACCCCTAAAGTTACGCAACCCAAGGTAACGGACTCACAGATCCGCTGGAGCAGTACAAGTTATCTGTCTGCAGGGGATGCGTTTGTAAGGTAGGCCGGGTTTAGGGTTTAGAGATTTGGGGTTCAGGGTTTTTGGTTTAAGTTTTGAGGCTTAAAGTTTAGGGTTCAGGGCTTTATATCTTTCATTGGTTGGTGGGTGGGTTTTGGTTCTCACTTTTTACTTGTTTCCCGAACTAGATGCGAGATCACAGTACATACTTTGTTTTACTTTTAACGCAAAAATGGAAAATTAGATGCACACTAGGTATATATTGTGGTTTAGGGGTTTGCCAAAATTAGGGGGACCATTTGGGGGATCTGCATCATAAGGGTGAATGTTGTTCATTGGCGAGTTGGGGGAGGCTTATCATTGGGAGGAGTTTATCGAAGAACTGAGCCAGGTCTCCTGCGATGAAGATCCAGGGGCTTAGGGCTTAGGGTTGTGTTATTCCCCCAGAGCCACGAACTACGTGATAATAGGGTAGATATATGGCGAACATTAGGCTGATATTGGGGTGATATAGGGATAGTGGAAAAGGAAATGGAAACCTCACTATAGTAAAATAGTGTATATATTGCTCTATGCCCCAAACTCCCTCACCTGTTGTGGAAACTGGCGGCCAAGATTTTCTTTGCTTTAGGAAGCCGCAAGAATTTCAGGTGCTTTCGCACGCCTAGTTGCTTGAACGTGCTTGAGGGAAAGTCCCAGAGGGGATCGCAAGAACACTCGTCTAGGATCCCCGATGATAGTCCCTATATCCGCTTCTCCCTCGCCCTTAAGCACCAGGTTGTGGAGAGACACCTAGGATCTCTTACCTGTTATAGGTCATGCTGGATGGTGGTTTTCTCAAAATCGCGTCTTCTTAGGTGCACTAATCCCTAAACCCTAATTCCCTAAACCCCTGGGTGTATAGGATCATATTGGGATCATTGACTTCCCCTGGGAGATTTCGGTGCGAAGCGCGTGCCAGCCGCTTCCTTGCGTTCGCTAGCTGTCTGGAAGCGCTTCCTTCTGAAAACGTTTTAGACCAGGCCATCGTAATTAACTATTGAACCCTACCCCAGGCTCTAAGCTTAAATCCGAAACCTACACCCCAAGCACTAAGCCTACGTTCTAAACCTAAACCTCTCAGACCCCAACCTACAACAAACCCACCCTACACTCTAACCCTAAATCCTAAAGGTCTCAACCTGAACCCTAAACCCGCACCCTTGGCTATAAACCTTGAAGCCTACGCCCCAAACTCTCAACTTTTTAACCTACACCCCACAATCTGTACCTAAATTGTAGTTTCCATAAATACAGCGAACCCACTGTAGAACCCCCCGCCTCCCCCCCAAATAGTATGATCCTTATGATCCCCCAAAATGGTACCCCTCAATCTGGGAAACACTCAAATCCCAACCTCCCTGAACCCAAAACCCAAAACCCCAATTCCTAAATCCTAAAGCTTAAACCTAAATCCTAAACGGTCCTAAACTCTAAATCCTAAACCCTTGAGCCTAAACCTCAAGGCCTAAACCCTAAACCCTTAACCCAAAATCCTAAACCCCTAAACCCTATAGTAGTTTCCATTTTCTTTTCCATTATCCCTATATATAACCCCAATATAATCCCAATATAATCCCGATATAGTCCCATTATAGCCCTACCCAGGTGGTACCCAGAGATGGGACACTTCGGGGGTCAGCAGGAGGGAGGCCACGCGCCCGCCAACGTCATCAGCAAAGGCGACTACTACATCATGACCCTGGGCGGTTTTAGGGTGCGGGGGTTGGGAGGTGCAGGATTTCAGGGCTTAGGTTTTTTGGTATTTGGAATTTGAGGTTTAGGATTTGGGGGGCGGGGGGTTGAGTGTTAAGAGTCTGGGATGTGGGGGTATGGGTGTATCGGTGTGGGGTTTGAGATTTTGGGTGCATGGTGGGTGTTTCGGGTGTTCTGGGCGCTTGTGGCTTAAGTGGGGCAAGGTATATCATTTTGTGTTGGAAGGAGTCTGATATTGCAATTTGTTGTTTTGTGATGTCCGACGATTGATCTGGAGCTGGGGTCCATGTATGCCTTTGGCTCCTGACTGAGCCTGATTGACAAGAACTTCTACGAATTTTTGGGGGTTGGTGGCCTGTCTTGGATATGTGGCCGGTTGCTTGAGTAGCTGCAGTTCTATTTCGGTTTGCTCATGAGCTGCTTCAGTTCACTGCAGTTTGGTTCCCTTGAGGTGGGGGGTTACAAAAAATTAGGGATCCTCTCCCTGGGAGGGAGTCTCAATGGAAACCAAAAATCGTAGCCTGGGGCATCATTACGCAGGAGACCTTCCTGTTTGAGGAAACATCCTAAATTCGATTCCAAGTTCCCACCTTGGTTTGCAACTTCCCTTCAAAGCAAGAGATTTGGGCTTCTTGGGAGTTGTTGCTCAACTTAGGGCTTAGGGGTTGCTGAAGCAACGTAAGCTGCACGCCCTAAAATCCCAACCCGCATCAGAACTTTTCCAAACTAGGAATTCTACACAGCAAATCTGATGCCTTGGTCCGTAAACCACAAAAAGCATAATCGCAGCATGCAAGGAAAGGGCTGGTGCCTGCGTGCGAACTGGGAATTATCGCCTGCAACAGAGGCCGGGCTGAGCTGTTTTTCTGGAGTTTGGCAAGGTTTAAATGAAACTACGTAGCACTTGCCGGCCAACACTCTAGGACATCCATAATTTTCATGAAGCCCGCCCCCTTTTTCCCCTTCTCAGTCGTGTCGGTTGCGGGATCTAGTCTGAGCTTTGGGCGGGCTGGCCCTTGAACCCCAGTAACCCTAGTCTGGTGCCTCGAGCCCTAAATCTGCAAACGTAGACTTTGAAGTGCTGTGTCTGCCAAAGCCCATTTTACTCCATTCCCTGAGCTCCAGACCCTGTACCCTGAAGCCCCAACCGTACACGTTCAACCCTCAACCTCTTGAACCTACCTAAACCCTAACCTCTTCATCCTAAACCATGGAAGCCCGAACCCTGCAGACCCTCAATCATAAACTCTGAACCCTAAACCCTAAACCCCAAACCCTACACCCTAGACTCTAAACCCTAACCCCTAGACCGTAAGATCTCAGACGCTAAACCCTTACTATAAACGCAGTCGGCAGGTGTTGATCCTGACCCTCAGTCTGGTGGCGTGGTGAATGCGACTGCATGCTTCGCAGCCTATGACGCTAGGTCGCTGTAGTTTTTTTGTAGTTTCCTCCCAAAATCAGGGGGACTCCAAAGTGACCCCAATGTATTATAATCCTTGTAAGGGGCATCCCGGAAAAGGTATCCTTAATTTGGGAAGGGCCCCCTTGTTTTTTTTTGTTTACAAATTGAATTGCAGGGATGATCCATGATGTCTTAGGGCGTGGTAGAGGGATATGAGAGCTTCTCAAGACGATCCCCGGAGAACCCTGAAACTAAACCCTAAACCTGCATCTCCCGAGTGTCCCTGAGGGCTCCTATTTGGAAGTTTTCGGAATCAGGGAAACCCCAATACAGACCCAAATATATCTGGGTACTCGCAAAAGAAGATCCCAAAATTTTCACCAAACCGCCTATTCGAGGGCTTAGGGTACACATTAGGGATAGAAGATGGCTTGTGTTGCAGGTCACAAACCAAGTAGACGGGGAAAACGGCCCCTTTACAGGCGAAGTAGGGGATACATGAGCCATCGTCTGAACTCCTTGAAGGGGGATTTATAGGGTAGTATATAGGGGAGTATTATTGGGGCTTATTAAGGGGGATTCGGAGACTATGGCTCACATAGGGTGGGACATTCGTTTTCTGTCCTGAACCCCGACCCGGGGAGCTTAGGACGCCTGCAACCTCATGGCAATCATGCCGTACGAACTGACAGGCCGCGTCAGAGGGTTGGGGATTTACAGGCTGGCGTTGTCTAGCAGGAGAGTTTTCTTCTGCCAGCTCGTCCTTGCAAGCGTGGTCGCAGTGAACTAGACTGGCCGGATTCTGCGCCACGGGTTCTGGAAGACTCGCTTGTATTCCTTCTAGCTCTTGTAGAACCAGGGAGAGCTCGAACTCCTTATTCTTAGATTGCTGACTCTAGGTCTCCAACCCAATGCCCTGAAGCTTTTGTCCTTCAAAGGAAGGCATCTGGCATGGATCCCTAGATTGTAGCTCTTGAGTCCAATGCCTGACACTGGAACCTAAGGCTGAACTGGTCAAACCCAAGTTACAGCAGGGTGATATGGGGGTTTCCCAAAACGAGGGGTACCTTGTTGGGGGGTACACATAAAAAGGGTTGTAGTATATTGGGATTTACATTGGGGGTCCCCAAATTTCTGGAAACTACTACTTCCTGTCTTTCTTTTAATTCCTGTTAGAGACAAATTCCTGTTTTTGACAAGACTACTAGTGTGTCACGAGGTGACTACCTTGACCTAAAGCCTTCCAGCTTGATCTCGCGGGCCCCTTTGACTCCCTCAGAATCTAGCACCACCCCAACCTAAGCCATCCCCAGCAAACCCTAAAACCCTGCGTCGAGATGCAGAAGCCCCTGGATTCAGGCAAGAACCCCTACGACATGCGCCAGCTGTGCCTTCACGGACGTCTGTGCTATGACTTTGACATGATCACGACTCCCGGGCTGCACATGGGCAGGGATATGCAGGGCTTAGGGATTAGGGTTGGGGAGTAGGTGTTGTTTAGCAACGTTATGGGGCTTTCGGGTCTCCAGTGCTTAGGGAGGCTTAGGGCCTAGGGCACATTGCTAGTATAGGCTCAAGTGTCTGTACTAGCCTCGCTGCAGGCGACAAGGCTCATGACTTGCTGATGTAACAGCAGAGAATCCTGAAACTGGTTGCTGGAGATCGGCCTTGCCACTGTGAGTGTAGCATCCTCCAAACCTATCTTGTGAAAGGACAGTAGTCTTTTGCATCGGCCTTCTTGGGGTTCCAACTTAGTTTGGGGGAGGGTACATCATAAGCTTGCTTTCAGGACTTACCTGAACAAGCCAGAGATCCAAGCAGCGTGGGGCTCTTAGACGAGCTTTGGGCACCCGATGGGATCATGCATTGGGAACCAGTGCATTGTTTTCGTGGCTGCATGATATTTGAAGCGCAGAAGTTGGGGTTCAGGCTACATTGTTTCTGGTTCAGGCGGGTAGGTTCCTAGTATCCGAAATTTTGAAATCAAGACGGGCTTCCGGCCATGCATCTCACCTGAAGGCATTGCCCTTGCCTACACATTCTCAGCATTCCTGCAGGCTGGGCGTCAAAAAGAAGTGGGGCTCTTGCAACATGGCCGTGGACCTGCCACTCAATCGCAATGAGGAGCATTCTGCACATCGTGATTATACCCAGCAAAGGTGTTCATGGTAATTGTGACTTTATTGCAGTGGGCTTCTCGAACTACTTTTAGGTGAGGTTGCAGCAATAACGGCTGATAGTCACGGGTTGTGGGCCTATGGTGTCTGTCCCTCAGCTTCAAGCCTAGCGCCCAAGGCCAGGTTCAGTGTTAAGGACCTCACCGCTTTTGTTAAGGAGGCGTGAGGCATGTCAGTGGACACTACAGGTTATAGTTCCCCTTAAGTAGGTGGGATGTGGAAGTGCCCAGTATCAGAGTAAGATCCTCATATGCCCCATATTCTATCTACTTGAAGGGGTATAAGGCTCGGGTGATCACACGCCTCCTCTGTCGCGAGATTGAAGTTCGCAGAGAAAATCTTGAGTCATGCGTAGCCAACCATGAACCTTGACCTGAGTAACCCCTATTGGAGGTTTCCCAAAAGTAGGTGTACCTTTTTGGGGGGTCCCTATAATACGGATTTTAATATTTGGGCGGTCCCTCTGTTTTGGGAATCTACCAATTCGCAGCCATCTGCCTTCATTAACCGTGAATCCTGAACACTCAGATGGCAACCTGAGAGACTGGGCTTCGGCTCGACTTTTGCTTGCATCGGCTGTGTTTATCCAAATCAAGAATAAACCCAAGATTTACTCCAGCCACTGTACTGTTACGGTGGTTACTACTATTACTACTACTTCTACTTTAACATTATTGTCATTAGTAGTATTGATTACCGTTATTATCACTATTACTACTGTTATTACTTCTATTGTTGTTAGCAGCTCAGTTGCAAGCATCTTGGCATAAACTTGGGAACCCAGGGCCACCAAGCAACAAGGTTCCGGTATTCATTCCTGTGAAGCCGAAGCCTTCACAAATATCAACTGTAGTCTCCTTAGGAATTATTTTTTTTGATTTTACTTAGCCTAAAGAGTTATTAAAATGAAAACACACATTATCCTAGGTCTATGGAGATTACAATTAAAACTTAGACATTCAGCGTTTGTTTGAAAGTTTCCTTTCACCTCAAACTGAGCCCGGCATGACTAAACCCTAAGCCTAAAATCCCCGCAGGTTTATCTGAGCCGCGCGGTTCTACTGCACATTTCCTCCGATGCCTAGAGCTCCATCAAAAACCGCAAACCTCAAATCTTGAACTTGGAAACATAAAGCCTTTAAACCCTAAACCCTAAACCCCAAAACCCTAAACCCAAAACCCTAAAAGTTTGTAGTTCCACAAATCAGACCGAGGAGCCCTGAATGCCCACAACTCAAGCCTTCAAAGTAAAACTCGAAAGGCTAGCCCCTATAGTCCCCCTTAAATAGATAGAATATGGCTTTGGGTATAGTATAATAAGATCCCCATATACCCCCATATTCTATCTACTTAAGGGGGACTATAAACCCTGGGCCCTAAGCCTTGAACCCCGAGCCGCAAACCTTCAATCGGGATAGTCTGTGTTGACGCATCCGAGCAATGGGTTGTGAGGTCCTTTGTGGCTGCGGGTGACTGGCTGATCCGCTACCAAGGGCTGATCCCGGCTGCTTGGAGCATTTTGGGTTTAGATATGGATTCAAGTCTACGGTTCATGGCTTACGGTCTATACGAGGGCAGTATTGGGGTACCTCTTAGTTCCTCCCAAATTGGGTTCAAGAAGGGGTTCATCTTCTTGCCCAGGATCTCCTGAAGGATGGAGTGGAGGTCCTGATCTACGCCGGGGATGTGGATTACATCTGCAACTGGCTTGGGAACAAGGCCTGGTGGGTCACTGCCCAGTCAGGATGTTGGACTGGGCCCGTATAAGCGTCTGTGGAACAATCCCCTCTCCACCCCCAAAACGAGATGGCTCATGTGGGAGCCCGAAGGACAGCAGTTTCTGGCTATGTAGTTTTTGGCACACCCCATGCAAGTATGCGGAGTGAAGAGGGTGCGGTACAGAGGGTTGATGTATCAGGGAGCGTAGGGTAACCTTAAAACACCTTAAGCTAGTAGCAGGGAGTAATTATCTGTGAAAGCGCATCAAGTGCTGTCTTGGGAAAAGCCGCTTCAACGTAAGGCGAGTTTGGAATCTCTCCTGTCTATCCCTGATGATGATGTGCCTCTTTGCTTCGCCCTTCCGCATGTAGAAATGGTAAGTAGGTAGCTGAAGACACATGGGGTTACCAAGAAACTTTTGGTCCTCATATAACTACTGCATAATATGCCTCAAGATTCAAAATCCAATTCAAATCTTAAGGCGCCTGCAATACTAATTCTCATCACCGTGTTCATAGTTACACTGCAACCACATGCAGAATGGCCACGATCGCCACTTCTGGTGGCGCTGTTGAGCTTCCCGCCCTTGCATGTCACCGATGCATGGTAGTTACCGCAAGCAGAGGACCTTCAATGCAGACCCCCAAATACTATAATCCCTATTATGGGGAACTGGAACAGCGTACCCCTTATCTTTGGAAAAATCCCACTTCAAGAATCACACTATCAGTACCCGTACTATGACCACACTGAAGACTACAAACGAAACACTGGGACTTCAACTTGTCAGAATTGTTTGCTGCAACATGTTCCCAACCCAGGCTTTGTGCTCGTTAGATTTGAAGAAGACATGCTCTCCTCGCATGGTCACTTATTCTGCTGGGCATTGGGTTCAAGGGTTTAGGTCCTGGACTGCCCCGGGGCATTTTTTTCAGTGCCCAGTTACTGATTTATGCCTTATACCCCCCCATATAACCCTATATAGTTATCCCTATAATCCCAGTGTAACCCTACATAGTTATCCTTAACTAAGCTACATATACTGTATACTCGCTATATAACCCTATACAAGCATCCCTATATCATCCCAAAATGTACCCTATGAGCCCAATCCAGAGTGTGCCTATCTTCGGGGTGCTTGTCAGCAGAGTTTCCCTGCTGCCAACCATGTGGCGAGGATTGTCCCCAGGCTGAAGAAGGAAAGGTCTGAAGGGTATTCGGGACTAAATCTGGGGGTCGGGATGCTTGAAATACACGAAGGTGCATAGTTCAACTTATGCAGAGTATCCTGGATTGTTCGTAAATACTGAAAGGAATCCCCATGGCTGATGGACAAGAGCCCGCATGATTGCATGTAGCCAAGAACCATGATAGCATAATTAGGGTCAGTATACTTAGGATCATGCAGGATGTTGTCCGCCCAGAGTACACCCTGAACCCTAAACTCTGAAAAGACCTAAACACAGAAACCCCAAAACTAAACCCCTTAAATCCCCTACTGTAGACCTTAACCTAGCATATGCTCTTAACTTACTGGTTCTTAGTAGGATAGGGATGATATTCCCGTATTCCCTACAAGAACCAGTAAGGCACTTGGGCCCACGCTAAATTCTGAACCCTACATCCTAAACCCTAGACCCTTAACCCTAAGCCCTAAGGCCCAGTAAGCTAAACCATGCCCGCAAGTGTAGGCCTGGACCACGAAGCTTGACTGGGAGCACAAGGCAGAGTTCAACCAGGTGGGATGCCTGCGTAAAGGATGGTTTTTATGGGTTCATGAAGGTTAACCAGGACCCATGGCCTAAATCATAGTTCCTGGTAACCAGGAACTGGGCTTAGGGGTCTAGGATTTAGGCTTTCCGATTTAGGGTTTAAGGTTTTCTGGTTTTATGAGTTTAATGTTCTGGGTTTAGGGCTTACAAGGTTTAGGGTTGAGTTCCATAATGGAGAATCAAATGGCAAGAAAATAGACCATTGAATGGAAGATGTTCTCCGCGATACTTCTTAAAACTCTCCAAGTCTAGTCTCTTTATCCCTTTAGACCCTGATTACTTCACGCAAATCCCTAGCCTTGAACCATAAGCCCCAAGCCCCCAATCCCCCACCCTCTAGAACCCAAACTCCGAAACTCTAATCCCTATAAACCCCGATTCCATTAGAACCCCCTTGCAAAGCCCTCCTCGATAAGGCTGAGGACAAGGAGTGGCAAGTCGACGGCCGCACGGCGCCTTGACCTGACAACATGGCAGGGCCCTAAACCCTAGAGTCCCCCTTTAGTAGATAGAACATGTGGTATAGGGGGATCTTATTATAATTGGATGCAATATACCCAAAGCCATATTCTATCTACTTAAGGGGGACTATATACCCTAAACCCTCCCAGAGCTGGATTTCCCTCCATAAAATCAGTAGGAGGACTAGAAAAGGAAACGGAACTGCTATATGATTTAGTGTTTAGTATGTTATGTGAGCGGTAGTTTAAAAATGGGTGTATCATTGTCCGCGATATATGAGGAGATAGATTCTCCGCTTGTTGTTTCAACTTGCAGCAGGACCCTCCACATGTGACTTTCCCCAGTCAGCACACACAATGTGGGTACCATTCTTCGGGCTCCTATCATAGCAGAGGCCCCCATATATGGTGGCCCTAAACGTTAAGCCCAATTAGCCAAGCTCCCGCATGAGTTGCTATCAACATCTTTGGGAGCGGGGTTGCCTGCCGTACTTCTGTGAATTCAGCACTTTTGAACACATAGTCTTCCTTAATAGATAGAATTTAGGGTTTAAGTTTAGGGTATAGTCCTCCTCAAGTAGATAGAATACGGGCTATATGGGGATGGCAATTGTATGTAGGTATGCGTTTTCTACCAATGTCTCGTATCCTCCAGCTCTGGAAACAATGTGGCCTGAAGCCTACACGCGGCCTAAACCCCCAACATGTCAACTGCTAACCCGATGGCGCACACCAGAAGCACCAAGCCCAGAGACTCTAGAGCCCAAACTCCACATCGTCGGTCATAGGAAGTATATAGGGATAATGGAAAAGAAAAAGGAAACTAGTCCTTGCATAGGGTTTAGGGTTTAGGGACATTATCGCAAAAACGAAGAATCAACAGGTAAAGAACATGAAACCTTATATGAAAGCTGGCATTACAGAGTGGTTTATATAGGCCATATGAGCTGCATTACGGGTGGACCTTGGGTGTCCTTTGGGAAGTTGAGTATAGCCGCTGATATTTTCCCTAATAAGGACCCATGTCCAGCAATTTTCGGGGAACATGTGGACTACGACAGCCATGCTTCTTCTTGCGCTAACATCTCAAGATGCATCCCATTACAACTTGTAGGAACAAGATCCTGCGTGTTCCGTCCTAGTCTCAGGTAGCAAAGCTTCGATCCTCAAATGGCCTCAACTTCATGCAAGTGTACGAGGCAGCCCATGCTATCTTGCTGGCTATCTCTTTGGGCGAAGACTGAGCTTGTAGTGTTTTGGTTGGGGCATCAGATTTAGGATGGAGGCTTTTGGGTAGGAACGCTTAGATCTTTTGCGGTGCTGTTTTTAGGGCTTAGGGATTAGCAAAGGAGGATTCCCGCTGACATAATACCCTGAAAGCCCTGCTTTTCTTGGAAATCGGGAACGGAACTGTACGAGAGCAAGCCGCAACAATTAACACACCCCCTACAAGGACCCTAAAAATGAGAGCCACGGACATAAGAAGTGTCTTCATCCAAAACCTCATATCCTCAACCTTAAACTGAGTCGAGGATTTCAGGGCTAAGGGCTTTGGGGCTTAGGGGTTCAGGAGCTTGGAGAACTTTAGGAGCCTTGGGATCTAGACCAGGGCTCTCCTGAAGGCTGGCCATATGGTGCCCATGGATCAGCCGAAGGTTGCCTTGGAAATGGTGCGTCAGTTTGCCACTTGCCCTATGAGGTCTTTGGGGGTAGGGTATAGGGTTTAGGCTTCTTAGTTTAGGGTTTAGGGTTCAGGGTTTAGGGTTTAGGGTTCATGGTGTAGGGTTTAGGGTTTAGGATTAGTCCAGGAAAATAGATACTGGTCAGTACTAGGGAGAACGAGGGAGCGTTGGGGACTAGCTGGCAGTCTGGACAAAGTATTTGTAGAGGAGGTGCGTTGTAATCGAAGAGAAAGAGTCATATGGAAAGGAACATGCGAAGTGGAGATTTAAACTGGTATTTTGGTTTTGGCGGCTTAGGGCTTAAGGTTTAGCCCCTAAATCCCAAACCTTAGGGCTTAAGGCTCAGAATTGAGGCTTAAGGGTCGTGGTTCGGGTTTCAGGGTTTGCGTCACCGAGGGTCCAAGAGTTGGCCTTGGAGGAGTTAGAGTTCAAAATCTCTGTGGAGTGGGTGATACAGGGTTGAGGGTTTAGGGTTCAGGGTGTAAGGTTTAGGGTTTAGGGTTCACGGCTTAGGGTGTAGAGTTCAGGGTTCAGGGGTGAAGGTAGAATGGGTGTTACATGCCTAGAATGAAAAGTTTTGCTTACAGCTCGCGCGAGTAGGTCCTCATTTTGGACCGTATACAGTGCACCCTGGTACTGTAGATATCTACTCAAGGATCTTCTGGACATTACTGTTCCCATCACTATCATCATGGTTATGACGTACCATAACTATTCCTGCTACTGTTATTGTTCCTATGGTAGTTTCCCAACATAGGGAGACCCCAATATAGACCCCAATGCACTATATAGACTGGTGCCCTTATTATGGGGATCCCCCAAAAAGGAACGCATTATCCCCCCCCCTCTATCTCAAGCACCCTGTTGACCGCCAAGGTTAGTGGCAAGCTGCAACAAAAGCAGGATGAGCCTCAGCTCGTCGTGTAGGTGCGGTTTTGGCTGTTTCGCCTTAGGGCTTACACCCAGTCAAGTCGAAAGGGATCCAAAATCAAGGTGCCAAATACGCTCCCCTAGCATCATTTTTTGGCAGGCTGTTCTTCTTCAGTGATTTCAGAAAATCTCTGATCCTTTAGGAGTAGGGGGTTCAGTTTTGGGGCAGAAGTTTTCTTGGATCTCTTTCAGGGTCTGGGCAAGAGCGGCATCCGCGGTAACTCCAAAGGCTGACGCAACGGCCATGCATCGCCATTTGGGCGGTTCCATCCGCACTGCAATGTCTCATCCCGTAAGACCAGTTTATGGTTTACTGCTTCAGGGTGTAGAGACCACAGGGATGATGGCAAGGATTCTTCTGCGGGTTCTGAGAAGCTGGGTAGGCCCCTGGGTTATTTAATGTTTTCCCTAATGGCTTTAATAAGGGACCCTATATACTAATATTTTTCACAGGGCTTTAGGGGCCGACCCAGGAAGGGTCTGCGAAAACCAAAAGGTGTGAGAGGAAGGATACTTAGAGACTACCGGAGGGATTATGTAGATTTTTGAGGGTATCTAGGTCTCCGTGTGTACCCGCCATTTCTTTAAACTTCTTGCAGAACAACAGAATCCATTGGTTCCCTTCTACCCCAGCTGTACTACCCCCCTAGATTCCACCGTGAAGCACGAACTTGCCGCGCTAGTCCATACTTCACCCCGTACAACCCCAGTTCCGATTTAGATCCCGGTTCACTTCCACTTGACCCGAGGCCCCCAATTTCGGGAATCCTCCATATCCCTTCCAGAATGGTTTCCCTTTGTTTAGGGAAGTCGGCCTTTGGAGCAACTGGGTTTTGCCCTGCGTAGCAAGCTGACCACTGCTACAGCTGGAGCAAAGGGATTTCAAGATGCCGGCTCGGAGCAAAAAGTGGGTCTGGGTGGGGTTGGCTGTAGGGTTTGGAGTTAAGGGTTCATGGTCTACAGGGTCTATAGGGTCTACAGGGTCTGTAGGGTCTATAGGGTCTATAAGGTTTAGGGTTTAGGGTTTGGAGTTTAGGGTTTAGGGTTTAGGGATTCTCCGCGGATGCGTGAGTATGGGTTCTTTCAAGACTTTTAGAGTCGGTCTGCGCTATACATCCGAATAGGATAGATACAGCCTTCATGGTCAAGACAACAGACAGCCAACCATTGCTTCGGACGGTCTCATAGAAGTAGTTTCATGAAGGTTTGGTACGATTTCATGAGAGTCTTGCAGTCAAGCCCGCTCACAGCCAATTACTGCGTAGTCATTCTCCGAGACCTAGTCACCCAGCAAGCACATAGGCTATATTGCGGCGTTGAAAGCCAATTCTAAGTCCCCCTTAAGCCCTGCCTACTTCTAAGTACCCCTGAAACCCGGACTACTTTCTTAGTACCCCTTAAACCCTGGCCTTTGTGGATCCCGCGCAGAGGCTTGTCAACAAGGGCTTCTGGAGGGTATGGGTTCAAGATTTGAAGGGTCTAGGGCTTAAGGAGCTTAGAATTTAGGTTTTCAGGCTTAGAATTAGGTTTAGAGTTTAGATTAAAGGGTTAGGATTGAGGATTGAGGGTTTAGACTTTAGGGTCTAGGGTTGGCTGCCTTGGGCTCAGTGTGTGCCTGTCTCCTTTTTTGAGGAGCACTGCAGTTGCCTTGCAAGTCCCATCCTGCTTCGAAATTGCCACGTCGTTGGGGGGTTGATGGGGGTTTACGGTTTCGGGATCTGTTCCAGTTCTGGATCATTCACCTTCCCTGAAACCTAAGCATTTACAGGCAAACTCCGACAAAGCATCAGGCTGTCTTACCTAGCATTGGGATCACTTAAAAGCGAGGAATGCCTCCATCTTTACATACCTGGCCAAGACAACTCCGAAACCTTAAGCTTTCAACTCCACAGGTCAAGCCCTAAACCTTAAACGTCAACCCCGGAATCCTACATCCCGTCGCTGCTGCCATTCGAAGTTACTGGAGCTTTTGACCCTGCCCCTGGGTAGTAAGGCCAAGGGGTGCGGGGCCATGGCGGAGGCGGGGTCGTTAAGGGCTCCCTTCGAAAGGGGCGGGTACGCGTGCGGGGTCATAAGGGGCCATATAAGGTCTCGTGTTTAGGGGTGTGAACAAATTCTAATAGTTCAGATACAAATGGATAGGAAAATGGCAGATCGAAGGGAAACTTGGTTTGTACATGGCTTAAGAGCGATTAACGTGCGGGCCGCATAATCAGAAGAGGTTTTCGGCGCTTTGCGTTGATGAGTTCAGGGACTGGGGTCTTAGGGTTTATAGTTTGGGGTTGTGAATTTTGAGGGTTGAACAATGGTGGAGATCAGGGTTTTGGGGTATATGGTCTGAGGGTTTTGGGAGGTTTGGGTGGAAGTTTCTCCAAATCATTCCGGAAGAATCCGTAAGAAGGATCTCCTGAAATCCTTCTGAGAAACTCCAACTTATGGTACTGTAAACCCCCGAAGAGATGGGCGGTAAGAGGGCAAGCATTGACAGATCCTAGGGTTGGCTAAAGTACGACGTTAGATTCAATCTCCAGGCTTATTTTAGTTCGGCCAGAACATGAGCGCACAGCTTGCCAAATCCAGATTCCAGATTGGGCAGCGCTGCAGGCCCCAAAGAAGTTGGTCAGCTTGGAGAACTTCACGCAATGGACGAAGGCAACATACTCTGGAGCAATAGAGCTTCAAGGGTTTTGTAGAGGCATTATAGCCCTCATGGTTCACATCCCCTGCAGGTCATAAAGTACGTCATGGGCACAGGTCATGGTCAAGGGCGAAGGGATTCGAACACTATTTCTGGCAACTGTTTTGCAGGCGATCATAAGGTAAGGGTTTGCATGGGTTCGTGTTATCGTCCTCTAGGAAATGTTCTGCGAAATCAAAAGATGAGGCTTGTCCATGTCATGGCGTGAAGGAAAATGAGGCTGCCCGTATATACCTCCAATAAATTATGATCCTTATCATTGGGACCCCGAAATGCTACCCCTAACTTCGGGAAACTCAAGCCCTCAACCATATATAACCCCTATATAACCGCTACATACCCCTGATTCGGTGACAGCAGAGTAGAGCGTAGCCAGGCCTGATGCGATGTCCCAAGCCCTGACATGTCAGGGTGCAGGTTTTTGTTTCATTCGTGGGCCGAGGTGTCCTTACTGGGGGGAAGAAGGGAATATATTATACAAGGCTGTATGGGGATTATATTCCCATATTCCTATTAACAATTCCAGTAAGTAAGTGTAGGGTGCCATACAAAGCGCAGAGTTGCATGTGGTCAGTGGTCATCACTAGGGCACCACAGTGTTGTCAACTGCCAGCATGTTCAGTCTGCGGAAGACACGTGCGGACTATTGTACTGTTGATGGGCCAGATCCTGCAAGACCCTACTGGGTTGCTGGTATGGAACTTAGATTAAGTTAGCAGAATCTGGGTCTATGAGAATTAATCGGGTTTCCCTCTTGTAGTAACTGGATTCAAGTTCCTTAACAACCCAGTAGATCTCATGGTGGTGTAGCATACTGAGGGGTCACATGCTTGTCTGTCCGTGGAATCCGTGTAACTGACGTGCATCATGAACATCATTCTTACTTGGCGATTCAAGGGGGCGGATGCAAAGAGTCACAGCATGTGACTACTTCTTTACGGTACTTCCATGCCAGCTCCCCAGAAGTGCTCGATGCCTTCCATCACTTGCGTCAGGAATGAGTTGCCACTCGGATTCATGCGGGGATGTGTAGGCCAAAAGCCCTCAGCTTGAAAACTCAGAGACCGCAAGCAACGTACTATGATGAAACCCCCACACGGCCTGAGGAGACTTGAGCTCTTGGATGGGTTTTGCATTCTAAGGGAACGCGGGACGAGGAACATGAGGTGAACGATTTGTTTTTGGTCAGGGTCCATCGAGCTCTTTGCGCGCAGTGGACGCTCTAGCTGTCAACCTGCTGGGTTGGTAGGGTGCAATGCGCTGTGCTTCAATACTTCAATAGGAAGGAAATACGCTTAACTCAACCTACCCTGCAGGTCCATGCAAGGTCAAGGTATCTCGCAAGAGAATTACCCCGTCTCTTTGCAACTAGAACAGCGAATCTTCTGGCTCCTTCTGAATTGATTTCCTACAGAATGCCCAGCATGTCTATAGCTTACCCACTATAGTCACCCTCTTACCCGTCCATGACCCCTTAAACAGGACTGCGGCGTGAAATGTATCCAAAAGCAGTATGATGAGATGGCCAAGTCAGCGATGCAGCTGCACTCTCAGAGCTAGAGCTCCACCATGTTGAGCTCGTGTGGAGTGTTGTGTCCATTAGTTAGTGCTGACAACAGGCGATGTAGGAATTCACGGGAAACCCATAAGGAGTTGGGTTCAGCAGTCTTTCAAACTTGCACATTGGGAGTTGTTAAAATGAAAAGTCTCAGCGGGAGCGTGAGACTTTGAGATCCGCAGTCATAGTAGGAATGTGGCTTTCTTAGCTCTTCTGCAGTTCTGCTTCATAAAGTGGGGTTGACGCGGTTCTCTTTTTCTGAGGGTCTGCGATTGTGCCCTCCTGTGGATGTGGAGCAGCACATGAGCACGTTGAACACCAGGGAGTATAGGCAGCGGATATCTAGACCTATACCGATACATAGGGTTTCGTGTTTAGGGTGATCAGTACAAGCCACCCCAACCTCGCTAATATTGAATACTTCCCATTATATTCGTCACTTGCACATTATTGTTATTGTTGTTATTCTTGTTATGATTACTGTTGTATTTAAAGCTTAATATTCTTATTATCATTATCATTCTTATTGTTATAATTATTGTTATTAATTCTCTTGCGCGCGGTTGTGCTCAGGAATGGACGAACGCTGCAAGCCGAGATGCAAGCTCAGGGTTTCAAGGCCTCGCTCAAGCTTCAGACAGGGCTGCTTGGAAACTGCCATGAGGCGGTGGGGGTATATTGGTAATATTAGGGTTATGTTGGGGTAATATTAGGGGTGATATTGGGGTAATATTGGGGTGCCGTGCAACCCAAAACCCTAAACTGAAATCATAGGCCAAATGCCTAGATCCCCCTAGATGGTAGAATTGGTCCCCAGAATTCTCATGCAGGCACAGTATTGAATTTCGGAGGCGATGTTTTGTTCGTTGCCCTGGGCTACCATGCCTTAGGTGGATCCCCCACCCTGTAATAGTGGCCATAAGGGATAAGAAGGAGTATTTTAGGGTCCTATTATAATCCTGTATACCACTATTACAGGGTGGGGGGTCCTCCTAAACCATACCACTCCAGAATAATCAGCAGACTCACCACCCCACTTACTATCTCTCAGTAAGTTTGCGGCTCAGATCAAGGTTCCCGAATCACAGGCTGTCCGGGACATGCTTTTGAGGGTTATTATAGTACATTATAGCATATTGTAGCATATTTGCATAGTCTGGTAAATTTTTGTAGATTCCAGCATATTGTAGTATATTGTCGTAGGGCTGTGTGGCCACCGTAGAGGGACCAGAGCAGCAACACTTGCCTGAGTTGGTTGGGCAATTGCATCTGAGGTTGTCAGAAGTCGTTTTACACATGCAGGTTTCGTTGTAAGTTTCAGCAAGGGCGTTGTACTGGAGAGGCCCCAGAGAGTGTAAGACCACCAAGAGTTCTCTAAGATTTGCACAAGTATCGCACAATGTCAAAGAGCACTCCAAAAGCACTCCGAGAACATTATGATCAGGAGCACTCTGAAGTGTGAGGACTCTCCATGCGGGGAAGCGGATATGAGAAGTTGCGAGGACTCTGCACACCACAGCCGCGATTTGGAGCCCGTTTGCGAAGACAATCCGCAAAAGAGCTGCGCAACAGCTCGAAAGGAGCAACTGCAAGGACCACGAAGATGAGGGTCAAAAAGCGGCGATGGTTCCGTTATTCACTTTGTGTCGACCGGTGGAACCCAATTTGTGAGGATGCTCACGCGGAAGCAACCCCAAAATGCGCAGAGCACACAAACATGCAGCAGTAGCAAATTTTCTGCGCGAGGACATTCCATAGAAGAGCCTTGCACCGGGGCTGCGTGCGCTGCGGAAGAACCTCAACCGATTCCCTTCCTTCTTGACGCAAGAACCCAATGTCCGCACATTGCTTGAGACGACCCCTATCCCATATCAGAAGCCTTTTAACTCCTGCAAGCCCACGGCGACATGATTCGGGCTTGGATCCCTGCAGGATTTCCATGCCTTCCAGAAATCTTGCCCTCGGTTCCGGAAGTCGGGCTCCCAGACGGGCGTTTGGCATGATAAGTGGGGTGAACTAGACGTTATCAAACAACCACGTGGTGGGTGGTGAAAATTATGACCCCTTATTTTTCAGACGCACAACAAACAAATTTATATGTATATGTATACATGTAAATAAAGAAGTGTACATATATATATATATATGTATATTAATATGGATATATGGGGCCGCATTATACTGGGGACCCAGAAGGGGACCATGATATTGACAACTCCCCATGAGGGCGAAAAGTCCTTTGTAAAAGGGTCCACACTATTTCTTAACTGTTGCGCTGGATTTCATACTTCGGGGTTTCAAATGATGACCTAAGGGCAGAGAGATTACACGATGCGAAATAGGAATAACGTGTGGGTTTGAACGGGTAAGGGAGACTAGCTTCCTTGTCTGGCAAACATGCTTACATGAAAGTTGAGGACACACACAAGGTGGGCTTAGATGAGCCCCCATTTGTGTATTTGCAGGGGAGGGGGGGGGCCTGCGCATGTGGGGAATGCTTTCCTGCCTGTATTTAAAGGGGAGGCGCAGGACAGACATGTGGAACATATCTTGCAGCTGCTCTTTTGCTTTTAGCTCATCCTCTCTGAGAGTAGCATGGAACCTCACAGGCTCATAGAATTATGAGGCTCATAGAGTTCTAGATTTTTGTGTAAAATGAGTAAACTTTACTGGGTCGGTTTGAGGTTACATGTAATTTTGGTGTTGGGTATGTGAGCTTGTTCGTTCGGCCATGAAGAGGAAAGAAAGTACGCTCACTGAATCGGGCCGGGCAGATTTGGTATAACAGGGCTCGAAGTAGGTCTGTCTCAAGCGGACACCGGAAACCACATCGGCAGCAATGTATGCCATTCCTATTCTTACTACCTTCACGTTACCATACCCATTGCTAATGCAATCACGATTACTGTCATTCAAAACTCTGGGATCAGTGTGCTCGTCAGGCCCTCAACCCAAGCCTCTCCTTGATTACAAGCCTAACCCCTACACACCCTAAAGGCGCTAAAGCCTAAGCCCTAAACCCTAAAACCTAACCCCTATAGACCGTAAAAACCTAAGCCCTAAACCCTGAATCCTAATGCCTAAACCCTAACCCCCAAGCCCTAAAACCTAAGCCCGAAACCCAAAGCCCCAAACCCCCAAACCTACAGGTTTCATGTAGGATTTTATATTCCCCTTTAGTAGCTAGAATATGGGGTATATGGGGATCTTAGTGTAATATACCCAAAGCCATATTTTGTCTACTTGAGGGGGACTATGTCCCTAAACCCTAAACCCTAAACACACAGCCCTAAACCCAAAGCCCTGAACCCCAAAACTTCCAGGTTTCATGTAGGATTCTGTCCGTGAACGGTATGACAGGGGCTGCTGGCCGATTGAGCTGGCAGAGCTGGGCAGTGGCTATGCGGACGCCTCGGTCTGCCTCCCTACGACATGTACTGAATCATTACAATAGTGTTTCGGGATATAATGTAGTATAGCGTTTTAAGGGTTATATGGAAGGTATCTTAATTCGGTAAACTCTACATTCCAAGGCTCTCTGATCCCAAACTTTTGGATTTCTTTGGCGACGGACAGTAATACCCACACCTTGAATTGCTACAAGCTCTGCCGCAACGTTTACGCATATCTGGCTCTGCTCAGCCGTCCGTGCGAATCCTCCCATGCACTGCAGTCATCAAGTCTCTACTAGGCACTCGAGCAACTACAATTAATTTTTCAGACTTAGATGAGAAGAGATGCTGCATTTATGCTGCTTGCGCATCATGGCGTGTTTGGCCGCTGTCGTACCGCTTGGCTGCGCGGATGCATCGTGCCTTCAAAACCCAGTCAATGCGAGTGACAGGAAAACTTGACGACGGGTGATGAATCCTATCCCGTTGGGATCGCTGTCTTGAACTGGGATTCATCTGCAGTGGCAAGCGGCGTGGTCCGTATCATCTTAGAGGAGTTTCTGGGCTACAACGTTGTGGAGCATGGGCCTGCCGCCACCACACTTGCCGGTTTCTATGCGCTCACAGGTTGCGCAGCCCCGAATAACATCACACATCCTGCTTGTGACCAGCCGTTGACCTACAACCACATCATGATGGAGTCATGGTCAGAAGGGTACGCAAAAGATTGGCAGCAAATCCAGGCACAATACCCATCTAGAGCACCTGTGGATCTTGGCAGCATTGGCTATGAGGGCATCTCAGGATATTTCCTGCCAAAGGTCATATCTGATGGGGCATACAACCAGGATGGGGTAATGCTTGAGTACCACAGGGCATGGAATGCTTCGTGGTTGGATTCGACGAGGTACTTCGACACCCTGGACAGCGTTGATAGGGGAACGATGGTACCCTGCAGCAGAACAGTTTTCATGAACGTGTTAGCGATGCAGGATTATCTCCGCATCACTGGTGATTCTGCAGGGCTTCAGGCAGGGACAAATCCCGATTCATCAGCTAAAGTCCCGGCTTCATAAACTAAAATCCCCGATTCATAAACTAAAACCACCCGCTTCATCCACTAAAATCCCTGCTTCATAAACTGCAAATCCCCGACTCATAAACTGCAAGTCCCCGATTCATGAACTCAAACAATCCGCTTTATAAACTACCAATCCTCGATGCGTGAACTCAGGCAATCCATGATTCAGACACTCAAATCTCCGTTTTGTAAACAAAAATCCACCTTTCATGAGCTAAAATCGCGGTGTTCATGAACAACCCCTAAAAATATCGAAGCCATTGGGCGGTGCTGGGGCGTGGACCAGGGGTTCAGTTTACGAGCCAGGGATTGTAGTTTATGAGTCAGGCTCTTTTAGCTTACGAATCAAGGTTTTTAGTTTACGAATCAGGGCTTGTAGTTTACGAATCAGAGTTTTTCGTTTACGATTCGGGGGTACTATTGGTTTGTCAGGGTCGTAGTTTACGAATCAGGGCTTTCAGTTTAAAAATCAGGCTTTTGAGTTTACGAATGAGGGTTTTGAGTTTCGAGGCGAGGTTCTTGCGTGACCCTTCAGGCAGGTGCTGATGGTTCTCTTGCAGCCATCTGCGCAGACGGTTACTTCTTCTTGCCGCCGGCTTGCCGAGAGAACTCCAGTCAGTGCGTTCCGTATCTCACTGCAGACCCTGGTTTGGGACTGGATGACATCATGCAGAAGGCCACGGCATACAACATGCCCCTCGCAATCGGAGTTGCCAAGGACTGGACGACATTGTCGGCTCAGGTGCGGAGTGTCTTCTATTGGTGGAGGCCAGACACAACCTTTCTAGACCTGGACCCGGTGGAACTGGTCTTTCCACCCTACGATTTCAATGCGTACACAATGGGAGACAAGAGAACACGGCAAGCGGGCGCCTCGCTGACAAAGATCGTGAGTCAGGACCTCACACGCCTGGCGCCTCGAATTGAGGACTTCGTCAGAAATGTGCGACTTAACATCATTGATGTCATGGACACGATTAAGGATATGCACGCTAGGAGAGTTACACATCTGGATGCCCATGCCGGTGGCTCCGTGCAAACTCTTTGATCTGGCAGGGTTGGTTACCTGATGCAACAAAGTGCCTTCCAGGTTTCGGCCTGTATGATACAAATGCTGAAGACTTTGTCAACAATAGAGAGGACCCAATGTTTTTGGAGTGCAGAACCTGTTGGACGGGTACGTCTTCGGTGCGCTTGGATGATGCTTTTGGCATCACGTATGTGTGCATGATGTGTAAGCCGGGGACAAGCCAGAGTTCCTACGCTGCCTCGCCGTGTGACCCATGCCAGCCTGGGGAGTACCCTGACATCTCTGGAAGCCACAGCTGTAATCGATGCGGCATTGGTGAATACCAGGATCAACGTGGCTCTCTCCTTTGTACTCAGTGCCCAGGCGGAGGGACTACCCTGGGGTTTGGGTCAATCTCTCCGCGTGACTGTGGTTGTGCTGCAGGCTTCCTAGATATTGGAGAGAGCACGGAGAATCTGACTTGCATTGAGTGTGGCGAAGGCCTGGACTGCCCGGCCATTTCTACTTTGGCCAGCCTGAGGTCTGGCCAATCAGCTCTCGGCCGGATCTTTGTATCCAGCATTCTCCCGGGTTTTTATAGTACTTCCGAGGACCCAAGAAGCCTTTATCGTTGCAGCGAGGATGGACGCTGCCCTGGAGGTCTACCAGAGACTTGTGCAGGTGGCGCGCAAGGACTGGCCTGCACGGATTGTCCTGATGGCGGAACCTGGCACCTTGGAAAGTGTATGGAGTGTATGGCCTGGCAAAAATATGGGTGGCTCACAGCGATTTTCCTTGTCTTCTCAGCGCTCATTGCGGCATATTATTCGTCGACTCCGCACAAATCAGCCAATGGTCCCCAGGACAAGAATCAGATGGCATATAGCGCATCCGTGCTCTTGACGACAACATGCGCGTTCGGCATGACGATCTCGGTGTTGCAAAATGTCGGGATCATTGGTATGACTTCCATCAAGTTTCCCGGGCAGGCCAAGGACACCTTTGACTTCGCTCAGCTTTTCCTTCTGGATCTTGATAGCTTCGGCTTCAGTTGCATCGCTGGAGGGTATGCGCCCGTCCGCTATATTCTATGCGTGCTATTCTTTCCGATGGCAGTTGTGTGGCTTCTTGGCTGTCAGCTGCTGTCCAGGGCCTTTCCTTCAGAACGCCATTGGGATGATGCTAGGACGAAGAACACGATCGGAGCACTCCTACAAGTCAGCTTCAGCACCATGAGCACAACGGCTTTGGTGCCGATGATGTGTTTCAGCCCCCAAATGGTGTGCGCAGCGTGCTGAAGTTTCCTGGAGTCACCTGCGGAGAGCAGGAGCACACTGTCATGCTGGTGTTTGGGATTCTCCTGCTGCTGTTCGGGGTCCTCCGCTTCCTCGCGGTGTGCATGTATGCAGTAATTTTGACACCGCGTTGGAGCTGCACTGGAGAACATGCCAAGGTGAACGCATTTAGATTCCTGATCATGAAGTTCCGCTTGGACCGCTGGTGGTTGGGCGTGCTTCTCCTGGTGCATGGTCCACTGATGTCGCTTCCGGTTGCGCTTGCCACGGATTATCCGCCAGTGCAGGTGATGTGCGTGATCCTGGTGTTCCTGGTTTTCCTGATGATTGAGGCACACTCGTCGCCGTGGAAGGTTCCACTTCTGAACTTGATTGACTGCTTCATGGGCTTCTGCATCCCATTGCAGGAAGCATGAAAGAGTTTGCAGAGTGGCTAAGCTTGTTGATCATGAGCATGGTTGGAACCTCTGTGCTCTTGCTTGTTATCACGACGGGAAGCGCCATCATCCTCCGTCCTGTCATACGAGAGCATCAGGAGCTGCTTTTCAACTTGCTGAGGGTCCCAGAGCCTGCGGTCATTGCTGACAAGTTGATACTCGTAGCCAGCGAGCTTGTTCAAATGGAGGAGGCAGCGCTACTGCATTCGATCGGCACCCACGATGTCAAGCTTCTGATGGCCTCCATGTCGCTTTTGGGTTTGGAGGTGCTCGGCAATGACAACAGCGTCGTCCACTTCGTCAGCAGGATCAGCTCGTCTTCCCTCGCAGGACCGAAGATTAAGGTCAACCCCGATCAGCCCTCTCGGCAGCCGCATATTGCGAACGAGCACGTTGCAGCCAGGAAGGAGAAGGAGGAGGAGAAGGAGGAAGAGGAGAAGGGGGAAGAGGAGCTGGTAGCTGTTTAGCGCCACCTTTCCGAGCGCCTTTCCCCTCGCTCGAAACCTGACGTTCAGGCCGTTTAGGGCCAAGATGACAGTGACAGTATCTGCAGGCGCTCGTTGCAGAGAGCCATCTATCCTGGGAATTGCAGCCAAGCTTGGGCTTCTGGTTGCAAGTTTCCTTCTTCTGTACACTGCTGCGACACAGGCGCCGTTCTTTCAGGAAACGCGCGGCTTGGACTCAGCAGCCCCCTGATGGATTGTGAAGAAAGAGTGTCCGGTGCAGCGCAGAGGTTTAGCGAGAACTCTGGGCAGCGCATTTTTCTCAATGTTATTTATCGAAGGTCTTGGTAAGTGCTTTCTTGCACCACCCCGTCATGACCTAGCTTGATAAGCGACCCACCAGGCAGTTTTCTGGGAGCAATCTCCAAAAACTTGTGGATTTCAATTGTCCATTCGTCCTTCATCCTGTGCACCAAGATCTCCTTAGAGATGCTGAGGTATATGGGTGGTTGTCAAAATTATGGTCCCTTTTTGGGTACTCTAAATATTAGGGGCCGTATTACAATAGGGATCCAAAAAGGGACCAAAATTTTGACAACCACCCATATCTCGTTTGTAAGCATATTACACCAACCTGCAATTCTTGTGGCTCGGCTCCTCAGCACCTACATGCGAAATCTAAGGTTATGAGGGCAAGCAACGGGCTCTCTGACATAAGCCAACGATGTGAACACGAGCAACGAGAGCCGTCATTTCGTGTTTGCATACTAGCAGCTGTGCCCACAAGGAACCTACCATGACATCGGCGCGCACTCCCTATGTGCATCTGTTTTGCTCATAAAACCCACATGTGATACCCAAAGCCATTCTGGTGACCAGGTGCTCTACTTTCAGTTTCTGGGCTTCCTGATGTGCATATTCTTCGTGCATCTATGCTTGCAGGCGTCAATCCCTTAGCATTGTTGTAACATGGTATGACGCAGGATTTTCTTGTGGTTGTGCTGTCCGTGCTTGGGCACTTTAGATAATGTTGGTGAGGGCAAGAAAGAGGGTAGGGGCGTTATACACACAGTTTCCAGTCTTCCTCATGACCGTCAGTATTACTTTCATTGTCCTTTTGCCGCTGCTGTTGCTGCTTCGATTATTGCAGAAGTTATCATGAGGTTGCAGCTCGTGCTCTTCTGATGTTGAGGGATTTACGGGCGGACTTTTACTTCCAGGCCCTGCACACATGCTGAACTCCAAGCTCCACTCCTTTGCCGAACTGTCAAGCCCTAAGCCCTAAATGTCAAGTCAACAGCCTTCAGGCCCGGTCAGACATTACTGGCATGTGCGAAAGAAGAATCGGGTCTAGTGGTTTACGCATATGGTTTCGGATCGGGGGCCTCAGGTGATTCGTTGCAGAACAGCAATGATATTCCACACTTCCTTGTGCAATCTGATCCTGAGAGCCTTATCCTGCATACACAAGCTTGCAACCATCAGGGCAACGCCAGTGATCAGGCTATCCCACTTCACTGGTAGTTAAGCATTCTGAAGACGTTATGTTCACTTTACATCTTCCGACTATGAAGATGCGGAGCTCCTGAGGAGCCGCACTGATCTCGCGTGTCTTAGTTCTGTGAAGAACTAAAGCAGTACATCCTGGAAGTCCTTGAAAGCTTGGATCTCAAGCCATTTGCATGACATTCCTAATTAAGTTTAAAATATCACTCAAACTGTCAAGGCTCTATGCTAACTTGTATTTTGGGAAGCTTTTGTCGATGAGTAGTCGCTATCGAGTTTGGATGGTAGGATCTGCAGTCGGATCAGCAGCAGGGGCCACAAATTTGACATCCCGTCGCGGCTTTAGACAAGAAGCAGAGCAGAACATGTTACATGGCTTTTCAAGAAGCTGTGAGGGCAGTCTGCACAAACGTCAGCGGATTTGTCTGAGTGTGAACTAGCCGCCCACAATACACCCTTATATTTGAGAACAGTGGGCCCGAAAACCGTAAATCATGAAACCCACAACTTGTCCCGAATCTGCTATTTCCTACTCTGAGTCCCCAATTCTCATGCGTTCCAGGGTACTCCTCTTTGGGCGTTTCCACAAGGAGTGGTCCTTCTTGTCTACTTCTGAGTCCTGTCACCCTTTCTTCAAGGACCTCCAAAAGCCCAAATATCCATACGGACTCTTTATTTGTATTCGTATGCCCCAATATATACCCCACCCCAAGCCCAAAATCCTAAACCGTGTATGCAGCTTGCCAGGCGCCCGTCATGGCTGTCTATGCTGAGGGAAGCAACCTCGCGGAGCCTGGGCGAGAAAAACTTAGCACGGCCCTAGGTCAAGAGGGCCTTTAGGTAATTCGAAGACTTGGGTGGTTACCTTTAACCCGCAAAATTAGGACCCGAGGACTGTAATAGGGTCTTAATCTGGGGGTTTGAGTCAACAAAATCTTCTTATTACTCAAGGAAGGTGTTCAAAGGCCATGGGGTGTAGGGCCTGGGGTGAAGAGCCCGGTGCTACCCACTTCTCGACATCCTGTCCCGAAGCTAGGTGCCTCTCTGTTGAACTGGAACATTCTAGACTCCACGCTACGTAGCCCTATCCCTACTCCGTGAGGTTGCTTGGATATCTTTGCGCAGGTAACCTGGGAATGAGGCTGAGTTTTAGACAGCCCTGCGATCACTACAGACATATCGAGCTCCTACTTTACCGTTCATCCTGGCAACAATTTACCTTTCTGTAAAACAAATGTGATCCCCCAAGAGAATGAAAAATCAACCATATCATGAAAGTCCAGTGCCCGCGGGGCAGGGTAGGCTGTCCCATAGTAGCCTCTACGGTGCCTACAGCGCTTCTTAGCATGCCTCGTGTTCCTACAGTTAACCACCAGCAATGCTACACGCCCTAGTATCGACACACAGTCCGGACAGTGTTATCAGTGGTGCCCGAAGGCGACTTCCTAGCAGCACCTTCCCACAGGAGTATATAGGGATCATTTAGGGATCATATAGGCGTATAAAGGGGTATAGTGGAGAATCAAGTGGGCAAGAAAGTGGCACATGCCATGGAAGCTACCATATTATCCAGTCCACGCCTCAAGGGGTCCTAGTGTTTCAAGCTTGCCCCCGTGGACCCTAGGTATCCCTATGGTAGACGACTCTTTCACACATTACGTAAAGCCTCATATTTCCCCAATGTAACCTCAATATATACTCCCTCATAAGTAGATAGAATATGGCTTTGGGTATATTATAATAAGATCATCATATACCCCTAAACCCTAAGCCCCATATTTTATCTACCTAAGGGGGACTATAGCCCTGCAAGTCCCTGGCATGCCTGGAGCCTTTTTACGTGTGTGGGACCACCCGTCCTGAAGTGGGAGCACGGTACTTCTTCAGTCATCTCCAGATTTTCTGTGGGTCTCCGCGGGGCCCCGGTGGTGAGAACAACCCCAAGGTCAGGCCAAAAGATGAAATGCCAAGCCCGAAAAACCAAACTGAACCCTTGTACGAGAAATCGCGGGACTAAACCAAACCCCTCTGAAATGCCCAAACCTAAGACCTAAAACTTCGAAGAGTAGATACTGCAAAGGACTGGTACTGGAATGACGACTGGACAAAGGCAAGTGTGAGGATATGACTGTCAGTTCTGGGTGTAGGGTTCTATCGTCACGCGGGCTCAGAAGTGGTTGAAGGTAACTGTTTCTGGATTTGGGTTCAGGGCTTAGGTGTACTTAGATACGAGAGCTACAGTCACAGCTGAACAAGCTGAACAAGAGGATGCTTGGTCTAACGTGTAGCTGCCCAGCGCGCGCACCTCCACCTACAACTACACTTTGATCTTCAATTACGTGCTTTCGTACGGAGAACGTAATCCCCCCTCCCTAATTAAGAACCTCCCCCAGCATGCGTGTGGCAGGCATATAGCAACGATCCGGCGGCCTGCGCGTGTCTGCTGCCTGCACCTCTTGGTGGGGTTAAGGATCTACCCTAAACCCTAATACTGAGGGTTTTGAATCTTGGTGTTTCTGCTTCGAGCCTAGGGCTTAGTTAGCGCTTTTCTGGGATAGATTTGAGAAGTATACAGGTGCTTCAGCTGTTTTCCAAAATGCTCACTGTACCCTGCTAGAGATTCATTTGCTTGAGGGGCATGTCAAGAACAGGCCCCCCAAATCGACGGCTTCCCTGTAATTCTAAAAATTGGCCCACCCAGACCTCTTGCTCGAAGAAGCTCCCGTGTCTGAAAGGGGCTGAAGGCAAACGGCCTTGGCAGCCTAAAGTAAACCCCAACATAGGGGTTATTCTCAAAATGCCGGACCCTTTTGGGTCAGAACTTATTTTAGGCCATTTAATATCTAGGGGTACCAAAACGGGACCTTAATTTTGGGGACTACCCATAAAATCCAAGTTTCCGCTCCGTTTCAACTTTCGTTGCCCACTTGATTCTCCATAGTCCTAACCCTCAACGCCTCCACCCTCAACCCCAAACCCTGAACCCTAAATCTTAAACCCTAAACCCTAAAACCCTAAATCCCGACACTCTAAAACCCTAAAACCCCCAACCCTCGACCCTAACACCCTCAACCCCTCAACCCCAGTGGCTGGCACTTTGCCGAGGTATCGGCAACTCTGCAGGATACGCCGTAGGGCCCTCAGTCTTCTGGGTTGCTGTTAAGGAAAATAATTAAGTCACCATAATATGGGCACATAGTAAACAACTCGGTTTCTTTACAGTAACCCAACTTAAGTATCTTAACAGTAACCCAGTAGCTTGAATCTTGAAGACCGCAGGGAGATGCTTGTTCACACTGCGTTTCACAGCGGTCCTCTGTCTACCACGGATGATTTAGGTTCAGACTGTTTCAGTTCATTCATAGCTTTCGGAATCAACCGACAAGACCAATTGCCAAAGGGTTCAAAAGAAAGCTCGAGTCTTTGAGACTCGAACCTTCGAAGGAGGTCCTCGGGCAGGTTCTACATCCTTCGCCCTGAACCTTAACGGATATATCTAGCTGGGAGGCAGTTTTCTGGGTCGGCGAACAGTTCGCCCTGCGAAAAAGTCATGTTCCTGCAGCCGCAGCTTTCAAACAACCTTGCGGTAGGCATTAGGGCTTTTCATCCGATCCTTGCACTGTTGCGAGCCGCAGGGGCTGTTTTGTTCTTCATCAACATCTAGAGGTAAACCTTGAGATCTCTACATTCAAGGCGCAAGCGCTAAAGTAGCTCCCAGGTCGGGGATGTCGCCAGTCATAACTGCCCCCTGAAGAAACACCAGGCAACACCCTGAGCTCTAAACACCGAGTCCCGGAACCCGGATGCCTGCCTACTATACTAGAGTAGTTTCCATTTTCTTTTCCATTGTCCCGATATAAACCCAATATACTATACTAGCCATATAACCCCTGTATAACCCTATAATATTGTAATAGCTTAGCACCAAGCGCAGAAAATTTGCCAAGGCTACGTGCGGGGCTTGGGATCTAAACGATTGCCCAGAGTCGTCAAACTGTGCCTTGGCCTTTTGCTTTTTCAAGGGTTTAGGGTTTAGGGTTTAGGGGGATGAGAAGAGAAGCTTGAGCAATGCCCATTTTCTTGTTATATCCCCTGGAGAGCTGCAGCAGGAACAGCTCCGAACATCCAGTCTAGTGCTTCCTGCAGATTTTCAGTTTGGGTTTGGGGCTTGGGGTTTACCATTCGGGGAGAGGTTACTGTAAGGGTGACTTGGGATCTGAGCCTGCTCAAAGCTATCTGAAAACTTGCTTCATTCAGAAAGGTCTGGTTCCCGCACAAACTCGAAACTAAAACTTGAACCGCTGCACACGTCAGACAATAAAAGCCTTCCCCAACCCCCATGGAAGGCCAGGAGTTAGGAATGCGTTGAATGGGGCAAAGGCTTTCGCAGACTCTACAGGTAGATGCTTGCAATGATGCCGATTAGCTAAACGCCGTGCTGGATTTCGGGCAACTTGCAGGTTGCAAATGCGTGGTTTCATGGTAGTTTCGGCTGATTTCCAGCTTTTCTCTCTGAAATCTCATGTTTGATATCATGCCGAAAGCCCACTGCTCGCAGACATATCTTTAGATGATCTTGGCGAGCCCCAACAAGATAGATGCTGTGACGGTCCACGTCCCAGAAGTCTTCTTGCCTCAGAACCTTTTGTTTCAGCTGGCCAAAATCGTGTGCCAGGAAGCAGTAGTTTGGTGACATATGAGACGTCATTTGTGCATGGCCACGTCAGGCGGGGTGTACCAAACACCTTCAGGTGTGTGAGAAAACAGAATCAGACACGCATCATCAGGTACGGAAAGAATATTCATCAGCCAATTAAGACCCCCCCACCCCCCAGGTGGGGTTTTTAATGACATGTGGTGTTTTTGTTTGCTTCGCTCGAGGAGATGGGCAGTAAAGCCTAACTGCTCTCTTGATGCCAGGGCTGCGATCTGATGTTAAGATGACTTGCATTTTTTAGGATTGCTGCCTTGTAGTGAATATGGCAGTCGGCAATGTGAAGGGTAGTGAGAGAATGTACACAGATTCGCACTCATCGTGTCTAACCTGCAACGCATTGTTTTTCGCCTACAGTAGCAGGCACAAGGGAAACACGCAGTGGAGAAGGCATTAGGATCGCAAAGTAGTGGCTGTCTTGGACGGCACAAATGCATACGGGTGCTGCAGTAAAACAGTTTCTGGAGGAGGCAGGATTCCTTCGAATAGGTGCTACCAAAATCCCTCAACCCTAAACCCTAAATGTTAAATCCTAAAGCGTAAACCCTAAGCCTTAAACCCTGAACCTTTTGAAGCCTGCCCTTCAGGTAGCTTCGACAACCCGGGGCTCTGGGTGTGTCAGAGCTGGTGTTATACCTCCAAGCCGCTTTGAAGCACAGAAGTCCTAAGGTTTAGGGTTTTTAGAGGGTCATGCAGGGATGTACATGGCTATATAAGGTGACTTTTAAGGTGTCGGAGGCGGGAAATGTAGGGCTTTGGGTTAGGTATATACTCTCGTAGGGTATGCTAATGGAGAATCAAATGGAAGAGAACGTGCGAAATGATATTGATACGGGGATTGTAAGGATACTGTTGATACCAAACGTCTTGCATGACCTTAGTATTCTACATTGCTCTAGTACCCCAATACAAGAGGTTTAGGGTATTTGGGGTCATGCTGGAGGTTTGGGACCAGCCGTAGGGCCCGGGGCTTGAGAATTGCTGCCCCCAATCTTCACCATTTGAGCTTTGAGCTTCCAATGTGTTCTAGCCCCTCATGAAAGCCAACTCCTCTGAAGCTTGTGGGGGCTTTATGAGGCTTCCCTGCAGATGTGATCCGTTCGGCAGCCCGAAATCTACCCAGCCGTGTCTCCAGCGCCCCCTCCCCCCAAAGCATAAGTTCTCAGGTCATGCCCCAGAATTGACAGCGTGGACGCCTCCGTGCGAAATGCCTACATTAGCGACGGCGGCAACACTTTGGTAAAGGCAGCTTGCATTGCTGTTCGGGCTTCGCAAAGATCATGGGATACCTCGAGAAGCTATGCAAAACCCCCATGTATCCTCCTGATTAAATTATTCATTCACTGAGTCCCATTGGCCCTCCAAGTCGGCCTATTTAAGCACATTCTCAATTTTAAGAGGACTTTTGTGTCAAAAAGGGAAGACCCTAAACAATCCTAGGGATATGTGAGGTTCATGAGGAGAATGAAGGAACCCAATGAGTCACCATGTTTGCCACCAGCCCAGATCCTTCAAGTGGGGAGTTGCTACCCTCCCGCACTAGCGCGAGATGCCAAAGGGGCCTTCACAGCCTACAGCAACGGAACCATGTGAGTAGTATTTTATTTGGGGATACTATAGTACCCATTATGGAGTAAGATTCTATCTTCCTTTTGGGGTATAGTATTTCATATTAAGAATATAATCTTACTAGGTTCAACCACAAAAAAAACGCAACTCGTGTGAGCTTTGGGGATGGTATGGTTATGATGATCATTTTATGGTGAAAGGAGGGACGGTTTACGACTATGGGGAGTGATCCTGTGCCTGCCGAGGCGTATTCCGCATGCACCCAGAACAGCACGCTTCTTGAGAAGTGCGTGTCTCGTCTGAAGATGGAAGCCTTTTCTTGCTAGTTCTGTTACTGCCGCTACCACAGGTGCTGGCACTGTGACGGTTCCTGCGTGCGGCATGCTGCCATAGCTGATGTTGCATTCTACCTGCGCACTGTCAGTGCCACGACCTCCTCCTCGTCCTCCTCCCGCTTTTTCTTCCTCCCCCTGCTACCATTCCGATTCGGCATATCAGTTGCTGTGGCTGCCGCGGTAGCTGCACTAAGTAGTACTTGTTCTTGTCGTAGTCATAGAAGTAGCAAGTAAGTCAGCAGACATGGTTGTACTTGTCCTAGTCCTGCTGACAACTAGAAGGGCAATGCCAATATGGAATGGTCCTGCTACTGCTTACAGCTAGTACAATGAGTAGAAGCATGACTGCTGCAATCCACACTGTCAACCCCGTGAGCATGTGTGTAACAGGACTGCTGTAAATCGTCAAAAGGGGCGTAGGTCCGCCGTAGCTTCCATCAAGGCATTTTGGCTTCGCAAGGCTCAAGCCAATATGACGACTCATAAACCCCATAACAGCAGGCGCCAGCAAGCTGCACAGATATAGTAAGAGTCAAGGGCACTGTGAATCTGCAGCCCATTCGCAGCCATATGAAATGATGCAGAATCCGCCTGAAGCTTCCAACATAGATCAAGGCCTTCAAATTGAGACCTTCAGATCCCACAAGTACCACCAAAGTGCGCATGTATGGGACCCTTAGCCTATGCGGAAAATTTCTGGTTATGAGAACGCAAGCCGAAACTGCATGCCTGCAGAACGGCTACCCCAATGTGGAGTACGCGGGGAACGACACGGCAACAAACCAGGCCTGGAAATTCGATGAAAGGTTTTCCCTAAGTAGGAGCTCATTCAAGTTCTGACCAGGTTGGAGTTCATATCCCCCTCACTAGCTCAATGTTAGGGATTCTTCATATTTTTGGGGTATGGGATTCCTCATATTTATGTAAAGGATCTTTTTCCTTCCTAGGGTAATGTTTGCTAAGTATAGTTACTTTGAGGTTTTAGGGTTTTGGGTTACCTGCTATCATAGATGATTCCTCCGGTTAGCCTTACAAAGCCTACCGCAGTCATAATCGATGTAGTACAGACCCGAAGTCCGGCTACCTTCTCTGGACATGCTACCCTTTTACAGTACGGAATTCTCTGTGGGGCGGGAAATTCACTGCAGCAATGGCAGATCTAGAAAATCACACAGATTCCACACCTAGTTTTCTGCAATATGGGCCAAGCCTGAAATTACTGTCACAGCGATTGCTATTGGGATTTTGGGTTTGCACACAAGGGAGTGACGTCTTGCAGAAATCATCATCATCATCATCATCATATATGTATATATACACACGTTTCACCTCAAATGGCACTAACTTGGACAAACGCCACCGACTGTCGGCGGAGGATAGGGATCCCTCTCAAGGCATATTATGTCGTGACTAGATGGTAGGTGACTCCTGACCTCCAAGCAGGAAGGGCACTGTTTGGAGTTCAGCGTGTGAGGTTAGAGGTTGGGGTGATCATTTTTGCGGCTGTTGGTTTCAAGCGGTCGCCCATACTGTGACTAATTTGCATGTGTTCCTTACTTGTGCATCCCTAAGATTGCCCGAGAGTTTTGTGCACTTGAGCAGCTGCCTGCAAGATTTTAGATCACCAGTCAAACTCGTCGCCAGCAAACTATGGGGGCAGATTTGAGTGGAGAAAGGGATCCAAAGGACGTTTTCAGGGGTTTGCTGGTGATAAGGTGGAAACCTATTTGAGACGTTCTGCATCCATTATCATTTGTGATGCCTTTATGATCAGAGGCGGTGTGGATTGGCACATGGTGGCTGTCTCCCGGCAACACCGGTCCAGACGAGGCACAATCTGACGGTTGAGCCAAGATGAGTGTTACAGTAGGGTTTAGGGTTTAAGGTTTAGGGGCCATTCAAGGTTTCTTACTTTTTGATAGGGCAGGCGCTTATGGTTCAGGCTGTTGTGCTGAAGTTCATGGCCCCTTAATAATGAGCGTGGTAACAGATCGTAGACATTTCCCGTGCTGGAAACATGCAGCCTTAGAAAATCCAGTCTGAATCCAGGACGATATATCTGGCTCATCTGTCAGGATTGAAACCATCCTAATTCCGCGTAATTGCAGTTCTTCTTGTGCGATGAAAACCTAATGAAGAGTAGGGCCTCCAGAAAGCATCCTACCAGTTATCGTCATGCGGTTTAGTCAGGCGCACATGCAGTGGCTTTGGCATACTAGTCCTAGAATCTGGGGGTGAGAGCCGCTTCCGAAGTTGAGACCAACGGTCCCTGCGCCAACTGACACGCAGAGGCTACGAGTGCCTTGATCCCAACGATGTACACGGCGCCTTTGCCGAATAAAGCTTTGTTGGAGGGCTTCTTACACGGATTGAGTCTTGCATGGAGTGCTTGACCGCTAGACCCTATCAAGGCCCTCTGACATGGTAAGGCAAATAACCGCCGCCGCCGCCGCCGCCGCCGCCGCCGCCGCCGCAGCAGCAGCAGCAGCAGCAGCAGCAGCAGCAGCATCCACATTAGTTGCTGCGGCTGCCATTGCCACCGCCGCCACGGCCTGCGCCAATTTGGCGAAAGGCCAGCAGAAGACAACGCCACAGCCACTGCCACCTTACCCCATGTAGCGCCACCGTCGTGACCGCACTACCATTATGGTTCTTTCTGTCAATGACACTTCCATGAGTACTGCTGCTGCTTTCTCAGAATTGCATGGCTAAGCTTGATGCTGATGTTAATTGCTAGTTGGCATCTGCACCACGCTGTGCGGCAGCCCTAGCAACACGAGCTCATGGTAACGAAGCTATTTCATGACTTGATGATGGTACGTCCCTGGGATGTTAAAAGTGCACCTCTACTTGAACAAGTCCGCATGTCAGAAATCATAGAAGGAAGCCTAGAGCCTGAACCCTGAACCAATTAACCCTAAACGATGAACCCTATAGTTCTCCTTGAGTAGATCGAATATGGCTTTGGGTATGTTATGAAATACCACATATTCTATCTACTTGAGGGGGACTATAAACCCTTAATACCCAACACAACTTCAATTATGAGACCGGCAAAACTAGGTTTGCCTCATAGCCCTGTGCGTGCTCGTCGTCATGGCTTACAGTAGCCAGGCCTCGTGCAAACTGACATGGGAGTTTCTCGGGCTGTTTGAAGGGGATACAGGATGTATAGAGAGATACATAGGGTCAAAGATTAGGTGGGGTTTAGGGCTCCCAAAAACTGAGGCCCTTTGGGAAGTCCTTGCAAGGAGTATATTATATTCTGATGTATGCTTGGGCCCCAAGGTTAGGGAAACCATCATAGGGGTGTCTGAAATTATTGCTACATTATACCTCATGTGCCTACAAATCCCTACTCTCCCCACGGAAATCATGTACAGTCCCGAGCGTGAAGACTCTCGCAAGAATCTGGGAGCTTCTCAACATAGTCAGAACAGAAAAGAACATGGAAACTACTACGTAGGGCTTAAGGTTCAGGGCCTAAACCCTAAACAGTAGTTTCCACTTTCTTTTCCATCCCTAAACCCTAAACCCTAAACCCACTGTAACCGTGTATCATCCTTTGGGGCCCCTAAGATCCCTTGATCATCCCCGGCTGTTTGTAGGATCCGTAAGCCCCCCCTCCCCCCCCAAACTTTGAGACACACCCCTAATGTAGACGTCTGGATAGTTGCTGATATCATGTTCCTAGATTCCTCATGTCATTATGGTATAGGGTACTGCAAAACCTCAAGATGATTTGGTAATTACCTAGGCCTTTGTATTATGAATTTGAGCAAGTGCCCATACCTTTTTGCACGGTTTGGGTGCGGCGTTCAGGGCAGAAACCACTTTGGAATGACCACACCTCTCAAAAGAAGAGCCACCTCTCCTTGCAGTGAGAGTTGGATGTTTTGGGCGTGCAAGTCGAGCATCATCGTTGGAACATGCCCATCTCGAATCGAGCTATAGCAAACAACGAGTTTGTTGTTTGAGCTGTATGTGTTGCGCTGCAATCGTGGTGCAGGTGAAGCTGGAGTTGTTCCTAGCAACAGCAAACCTTACTGCCTCGTCTATGGCACATGAACTCAGGGTCGGCAAGGTGTGTAACATGATCTGCCATGGCATTGCTCTTTGTATGGTCTTGCTAGGAGCGTGCATGAGAACTCATCCGCACAACATTTGATAGGCAGCTGGTGCATCTGCTTGGATGAAGACTCTTTGCCTGTATCCAGCACGGAACCAACGTTGATTGCGGAATTTGCGGAATTCTAGGCCTACATAGAGCCTGTTAGTCGGCATGCCTAGACCTACACGTTAAAACCTCAAGTCACTGACAACTCTCTTAGCCGTGGTGAGCCTGAACCTATCCCTGAACTTGGTGCCTGAGAGAGTTTCTCAAAAGGGTTATAGAATCCCGGGTAAGGACCGATTATCCACTTTTAATCCATGTACAAAATACCACTGCTTTGAGAAAATTTGTCTGGGGCGAAGCACTTGGTGGTTGGCAGGTCTTGACGGACTACAAGGTGGATGCTGGCGCGGCGCTCATTTCCTGGGATGTAGCGGCCACCTAACCCTAAATCCTAAACCCTAAGCCCTAAACCCTAAACCCAAATAAACCTGAAGCTCAAAACCCTAAACCCAAATAAACCTGAAGCCCTAAACCCTATAGTAGTTTCCATGTTCTTTTCCATTATCCCTATATATAACCCCAATATAATCCCAACATAATTCCATTATGGCCAGAGGAGGAAGTACAGGTCGTAGGAATGGTAGAGGATTCATCTGCAACTCCCCACCTAATGACGCCTCAAAGTAGGGTTCGGGTTGGGGAATTTGGGTCTGCACATCAAAGTTGCTTGGAATCTAAACTACAATTTGTTTAACCCTCTGGGACTCAAGAAGCCGGATTGGGTAAAGTTCACACCAAAGATCAGTCTGATGCGGGTGCTGTTCCGCAAGAGCCTCTACCTGAGGATGGATTTATATATGCTAAAGTGGTGGGCAAGGACAGATAAAGCTTCCTTAGGAATCTAGCAAGATTCTGGGCCTGTTTGTGGGGTCTCTGTAAAGAGGACCATGTTCAGTAAACCCTAAACCCTAAA